GGGGGGAAGAGCAAAATCCAGTAATTTCTGCCTGTCCGCATGTTTTTTGTATTTTGCAAATAAATTTTAAAAAAAAAAATCAGACTCTGATACTCTCCACCTTTTTCTTCCAAGCATAAAACATGAGAATGAAACAGCATTTCTTTAAAACAAGACACAATTCCTACAAAATTAGAAAAGTTACCTAGATTTTATAAAGCAACGCTTACCTGCAGAACTTTTGCCAGCAGGGTCAAGACTGCCATTTTGCTCTCGGGAGCTGAACCTTTGGCCCACCAGCTGTCAAGTTTCTTCCAGTTTCTTAGCACAGCTGTGACCAGTTTCACTCCTTGCTGCTTGCGTACAGTACGCTCTCTAAAACTCTGATCTAACATGCCATTCAAAATGCTACCAACCTGGAAGGAAAAGCAACAGGTAGATTCTTGCACCCCAAATGAAAGTATGATAGCATCTCTTCATTGGTACGGGCAATCATAAAAGAGCATCACAGATTCAGGAGAACAGAACACCTGACTGAAAGTTAAAAAGTTTGCTGTTTAAAGAAGAAAATTCCTTCAATTTAGGCTCTTTCTGTCTGACTTACTGTCTGTCCTAAAAACACCTCTCTCTTCTTTGACTCTGTCGGAAAGCTAAGATTATGACCTAAAATTAGCATATCTTAATTCTATCCCACATCCTTAAATACAACTGTATTTAACAGAAAGCAAGGCCCTAGTTAAGGAAATTTGAAAGTCCTACTCTGATATATCAGCACAGTTAAGTTTAACTTACTGCATCACATAGCAATGCTAGATTTAAATCTCAAAAGGAGATTCAGGAGAAATCTCTCTGCAGGAAATTAAAAGCACACACTTTTCAAAAAGAGACTTCTATCCAATTTACTCCTGTTCCATTCAGACTACACCAACTCCTTCCCGAACCTTTTGTGTGAATATGGAGAAATAATCCAGATAATCCAGAATGACTCTAAAGATCAATACTTAAAAATTTTAGTTTGTGTGAAGCTGAGATATAGGAGAAATAGCACATATGCTAACTCATTTGCATACATTTTGAAAAGAAACATAAACGACAGCATACCAGATATGAACTAAGTATGCTTCAATCTCTTTTCTTCATAGTCAGAGAAAGACCTGATTAAAACTAACGGTCACTGACTTCCAAACCTGAATTATGCATTCTCCTCTTGAACAGTTGGCAAACACCTAATAAACTTTTAACCTTATCAACCTTGCGATTTCACCAGATTTGAATGGGTACAGTAAAATAAACCTTATTTTTACTTCCTGTGTGTCACAAATGCATAAAAGTAAAGAAGAGATATCTTATCAAATATAATCCATAATACATTTTTTTAAGAAGTCAGGCAAAGAACAACAGCATATAACACACAACAGTCCCAGTTTGGCTATTTACCTTAATTAAATTAATGAAGTGAAGACTTTCAACACTATTGCCACATGTAGCCAGTGTAAATTAGTAGCCTGTCATTTATCAGAGACCCTTTCAAAAGTAAACCTATCACGGCACGCTCTGCACAGGAAACACTACAAAGTAATCAGAAGAACCAGTCCTTTAAAAATGTATATACATCTCTCTATAATCAAAATAAACTATTTCTGGTATCATAAATAATTATGCTCCCAGTGTTTTAAAATGTTACTTGGAAGCAACACCTTTAAGCATAACATCTCGGATAAAAAAAGATCCGATTATTTTTAAAAGGATGATCTACTTTCCTCAGCATTCTTTTAAGCAAAAGGGAAAGTGGATTCTTGATCTTTCTTTTTGACACTTCTGCTTGTCAGAAGCACTGAAAGAAGGCTTCTCAGTTATAACACGCTTTCCTCCTCGACCTGAATGTGAACTCTACAGTAATAAGTAGCGCGGACCAACAGGAGAAAATCTGTTGAGCAGAAAAAGTGGTGCTGAGACTGAGTACATGATATCTACCCTGTATTTACTTCAGGTCACGGGAGGTTGTGCATGTGTATGAACTTGTCTCTCTTAAATAGTTCGATCTAGCCCTACTCTAGTCCTGTGGACTAAAGGCCCATTAGTGGCTGGAGTTAATTTTCCAGTTTAGTTTTATCCAACACAAATCCAGTCCGCATGCTCTGGGACCACTCCACAATTAAAAATTAAAGCACAGTTAATGGTAACAATCAGACTTGTACTTTGAAAGGACATTCTCAATCTGAAGTACTATGCAAAAAAATCCTGAAATTCACAGGTTTCAGGATAGGTAATAGTTAAGTACTTTCCACTCGGTTTGACTTGAAATGACAGACTAAGTTATGTCAGGTTGCCAACGATCATGACGGTAGCACCAGTAGGCCATGACAAAAAAAAATAAAAACCCAATCAATGCAATGCTGTCTGAAGTGCAACCAAATGCACTTCTCTGCCACTACACACTCAGCTATGTGTACCTATAACAACAAAAAAGCGTTACTTCTAATATTTCGGTTTGACTGTCATTTTAAAGAAGTCTAATACCATTTGGGGATTGGTGACAGATGATTCCATAAGCTGAACTATGATCACATCCAGGTTTTTCAGCAGCTGTTGGTTGATGGTTTCTGAGAACAGGCTGTAGAAATACTGTCCATGAGAGAAACTGATCAGGTTTTTCTGGGATGCTCCTGATAATGGCACAGATAACACCACTGTGTTCAACAGCAGACTTACTAGCTCCTCACACTGTGAAAATTAAGGTATAGAGACGGAATTATCTCAAGCACAGTAACTTCCACTCATTTCTTACAAAAGCACATGAGTGTTTTAAAGCTTCCACCCCAAACCCTTTTGTGTTACCAGAAGGCACAAAAATAAAGCACAAAGAGAATACAGAAATGCTTGTTATCTACAGTTGTCACTCAATTAAACCAAAGAATTCTTACAGTTCCTCTGTAGGATTATGAATAAAATATCAGCCTTGTCTACCCAAAATATGAGTAGAAGACTACTGATGATGAGTATTAAATGATGATTCAGTATTAAAACTAGAGAAATGTATCCTACCTGGTCATCAATAGCAAAAGCTAGCTGCAGGAGTCTATCAGCTAATCGCTTACTGCTGATGTCTAATGATGGAAGAGACATCCTTTCACCCCCAGGTGCAATACCTTTATAAACAGCTGAAAGAAGCTTAGAGCCAACTGAGAAACAAGGCCCGTCATCCTATGGAAATAAACAGACAAGTGACAATTAATATAAGCTGAAACATAGAGGCCTTCCAATCCACCTGTATAGCTAAGAAAGCACTTGAACTCCAGGTCATTTTCTTATAAAGCAATGCAAATATATCATGACAAGACACTTTTCTAACTGAGGAACCCTGTTGTATACAAAATTCAGAACAAACTAACAGCAGTTTGAAAATCTTCAAAAGATTCTGATCCTTGTCGATATTTTTTTCAGATAGTAACACTACTACAGAAATAAAATCAACAGCTTAGTCACAACAGGTGAGCCACAAAAGGTAAACCATGCAGCTCCTTGACTATCACCATCCTACAATTGCAGCTCTAGCTTTTATTTAGACATAAGAGTATATATGGCAAACACCCCACAGAAATTAAATCTTTTGTTACTTCCTAAATATAGACTTGCTCACCAGTAGACAAATTCTCTCAGTCCTTGTGGCTGTTGCATAGCCTGTTTTCCTTCAATTGCCCACAGTAAAATAGATTGACTACAATCAGAAAGTTAGTAGAAAGGATTCTGAGTAATATAGCCTAGACCCCCACTCCCCAACTGCTCTCCATCCTGTTTTCCTGCAACTCAGATTCAGTACATTGCTTCTGATCAACCAGAATATATTCCTTTTCTAGTTTCCCTCATCACTTTGAACGCTGTCAGTTTAAAAATTGTTGAAAAATGCCTCCTTTATAGGATAGCAAATCCTGATTTTTTGAGCTTTCAGTCTTGTGAAGCTCACTAAAAGGAAGTTTTAGGTAGATTCTGGTTGCCTCCAGGCCCTGGAAACTGAAGAAACACAGATGTAATTACAAAGATCATTCAAACCTCGGTATTCTGCCACTCAGATTTGTAGAATAAACAATACATTTATTTCTAATTCTATTCACACCAGCTCTTCACCGTTGATCTCATTTGACACAACTTCAGCTGATCTGTTCTCTGTTTTCATGCTGGCCTTTTACACAGAAAAAGCTCTTTACTGTATAAAAATATTCATCATTATTTTCTGGATAAACAATCACCTGATTTTGAAGAACAGAATGCAGCAGGCCAGATTTCTGGAGTTGCTTGCAGGCAGAAAGGACAGCACTAAACCTAACTTGATCAAAACGTGCATCTGAATTAAACAGATCAACAGAACAAAGGTCCTCAAGGCTAATGAGAAAAGAGAAGCAATAATGTTAGATTGGTGGGGAGCTTCAAGTGCAACTGTATACAACATTATTTACTCTCCATTTCTCATGGTGAGTGGCATTTGTTCTGGATTCATGCTTACCAGAAAGCCCCTCTACTTACCTCTGCGGTGCGATTCTTTTTTTTATGCACAGTTTCAAAGATTCCTTATAGGGCGATTTCATCAAAGCTTTCATGAGTCTTACGGAGATATCTGGGAGATTTTTCATGACTTGCACATCAGCAGTGTTAAAGCCTACGTGTGATGGATCACACACTGTCACCACCAGAAGCTCTATAAGGCTTGCATTAAGCAATTCTTTCTCAAGTAGCTAGAAAGAATAAAAAATTAAGTAAGAGCTTTATTTAAAAATCCATTTGGATTTCCCTATTTTATTCTTCATAACTTATCATTAGTCATTATATCTAAAATGAAACAAAACATAGAACAGTAACTATTCTCACTGACATTCTCTTTCTCTATGAAATGTCTGACTTTCAATCAATTGTGCTAATACACAGAAATTAAGTATCTATAAAAATATCTTATATTTTTATATAGGATATAAGCTATCTCTGCACATAAGATCTTTTATGTCCACATAGGCCTGTTTCAGTCTTGATTATACATCTGTAATCACAGTAAAATCCAGATGTACACCTCTGTGCACATTATTAGATATTTACTTAGAACAAGAGACAGTCAGTGTCTCAGAATTAAAGCTGATGGTATAAATTTTGGAAGAGAATCGTAAGTACTGTACTTTACACAGTTAAATACAGTTTATATTGCATCAAAGGCAGGCAAATGGAGAGATCTGAGTATCTATACCGAATTCAAGAAAGAATTACCACAATCTGCCTTTCTGCCTTTTAAGCAGCTACCACCTCCACACATTTAAGGCCTTCAGGAGCAGAAAATACTCATTGCAAGTAGTCTATACAATATGACAATCTCATAATCAACATACAAGAGTCTCATCAGCAACATACAACTGGAATATACAGGAAATACTAATTCTACTAATCAAAACTACATCAACCACTAAAATTAACTGTGCAATATAATTCCTCTCACTTACAGGCAAAGACCGTAACAGTTCATATGCTCAGTCATCAATTTCCATTAAAGCACCTCTGAGGTGGATATTGTCCAGCAAACTAACATCACAATGAAAACACAAATCTTTAAATTTTGTATCTTTTATCCACTACAGATTTGCTTACCTTCCAGAAATCCTGCTGGCACGTTTCCAGGATCATGGTGACAAACTCCATGATTCGGACTATAATGGTACACTTGCTGTAATTATACGCATCTCTCTCTTGTGGACTGAACATGCTGCCTTTTGAACTGCAATTAAAGCGCTGCTCTACTGTGTGGATATCATGCAAAGCAATAGTTTCAAGGAAGAACTGCACAGCCTCCAAGAATGAGGATCTTTCATTTACACCTAAGAAGAATCATACTAAGTTGAAATGATACAGCAGCTCTCAACTTCTAAATACATTATTTTGTGTTAGGAAGAAAACAGTTGTACTGAGATGATAAACAGAAAACCATCACATGTCACACCAGTATTTTCTGAAAGTCATATGCCTGGTCCAAATATTAACATTCTGGGTAGTGAAGGGTAACTTTCTAGTTATTGGTCATTATAAGCCTTTAATGATAATGATTTAAGCACGTGCAATAAAAAGGATGAAAATTTTAAATCCCTAGTTGTCAATAATGTAGCCCTATGCTAACTGCATCCAACAATGATTTTATAATACTGTTTTATACCAAGACACAGAGGACACTGACAGACTACCTAGAACTTGTACAAGACTTCATATATGAAGTAACTTTGCAACTGTACCATCAGTGATAAAAAGCATTTTGATTAGACCTGCATGAATAATAAAAGACAACCTTTCTGACAGAGACGCAACAGCTACACAAGGTATGGCTATGATCAAAATCCTGGACCTGATGCAGTCGAAGCATTAGGAACTGAAGAAAAGTACAGGGCTTGAAGTGAAAAGAGGACTTAATTCCTTGCTTTCTGATAGCTCCCTCCAAACATTAATAAAGAGCAGGTAAACAGCTTTGGAAGGATTGAAAAAAAAAAAAAGAAAAAAAAAAAGAAGAAAAAAAATTATAGCTCTCCTCAGCAGAGGAAAATTAGCTGTACAGCATAATTTTTTAAGATGAGAGAGAGTAAAAGAAGTTGCTGGGTCAGTGGATGTAAAGGTGTATTTTTAGGACTTAAAGGAAACACTTCAAGATACACTATTAACAAAAAAATACTTAAAGAAAAAACATCCAGTACAACTGTCATTGAAACCTTTGGGAGAATACGTAAAATTCATCAACTCTACATCTAGGAAAAAAGGTTCAAGACCAAGTTAGAAACTCATCTTGAATGGGCTTTGTTTAACAGATATGAATGAATGCGATGGAACAGTAAATTGCTCACCCAGTATTTCATGGGGTTTGATCATTCGCAGCTCAAAGAATGTATTGTAGCAGTCCAGTGCTGCTAAGAACATATCCATCCACCGCATGACAGTCTGTAAACTGAAGGGCTCCTGCATACCACGGAGAGTTGGCTGAGAAAGGATCCCAGATAGACTTGTGGCATCGCTGCCACCTCCTTCAAATTTGTTAATGAGGAAAGAAACATCTTGGTTTTTTAGAACATTAGCCAGCCAAGAAGATGGAGACTTGTTTCCTGATAGAAATAAAAACAAATATAAATTCTCTAGGAAAAACACATTTTGAGCTAGCAAGGGAATAGAGGCAAATGGAGTGACATGCCCACGTTCTGTGTTTTAAACTGGACCTTCTAGTGGAGGAGGTATTGGTTCTGGTCTAGCCTTGGTCATACTACTTAAATTACCCACAAAGAGGATGTCAATTTGTGAGACACTCCCACTAGTTCCCAGTCAGCAAACACTGCCTTCATAGCTGGATGCAACAGCAGTTCTGGGCCTGTAAGTTCTCCTTCCTTGCGAGAAGGAAGTTCACAATAAAACCTTACAATATTTGATTTCCAGTATGAGCAATTACTTAGTTTCTATTTAATAGCTGTGAGCGAACAGACATCGACTTCAAAAGGAATTTTTCTTGTAATTAATGTTTTGCACAGAAAATGTGGAGGGAAGGTATCCACAGTATTTAGAAAGCAAAGATAGTAATACATTGTGACTTACAATACCTGGTAATAAAGGAACAAATTCATAGAAGAGCTCCATGGCTTTATGTCGGCACTCTGTCTGAGGTCGCCCACACTGCACTAAGAGCCACATGACAATGTCCAGAAGACACACTGACTTTGAAGCTGGAAATCCTCTGCACAAAAATATTAGGAATTAACAGTCTTTATGACATCTACCAAGAAGCCATAGTCTTCCAGTTAAAAAGAAAAAAATCAAAATGTTCCATGAGCATTAGGAATGTCCTTTTATCTATCTAACCAAAACCCATCTACATTACAAGGAAGAGCTCTTCCACAAGCATGTCCTGCACCGCTTTCCTTTCTCCACTTTGGATCCTCAGAGCATAGTCTTTGTGGCAAAATTCTGAAAAGCACAATCAGGTCTCCTTCCTTATCTTTGTAACACTCAGAGACAAAAATGGAGATTAAAGCTTAAATAGGCCCGCATAGTTTTATCCCGTCCCTAACTGTCTGGTTTCCTAACTTACCATATGCCACAACAGTGAGCTAACTCCCAGATTCAACTTGCCTGTTTTTTTAGGATCAAAGGATAATTCAGGTAAAAGGGGATGTCAGGAGGTCTCTAGTCCAACCTCCTGCTCAAGGCAGGGTCAGCTATGTGATCAGACTAAGTGACTCAGGGCTTCATCCAGCCTGATACTTAATCCATTCTTGCTTCTTCCACCTTTTTCACCACCTCTCTTTAATCACTGATCTTAAAAAAAAAAAAAAAAAAAAAAAGAAAAAATACCTGGGAGGAGTCTCCTCCAAATGCTTTGTAACACTGGTGCTAATATTATCATAAACACTGCTGTGGGGAAAACATGCTTTTCTTTCCCTTCTGTCCTTGCCAAACTAAAGCAAGCTCTCTGTTCTGAGCTCTTCACGCTAGAATAAAGAATGACCACCATGATCCTTTTCTATCATGTCCAGCATTTCACACCAGTGGTTCAACAGACGTATCAGGAGATCTCTATGAGCAACAGTCACAGGATGAATTCCCCATTCAGTCCTAATCATTAATAGAACTACATATGTCATTAACCAAAATGCAATATTTAAAAAGCAAAAGAATGGCAAATTGCTCACCGTGGTACTCGTCGTTTTCCTTCCTTATTCAGAGAAGGTGCTTTATGCTTGATTATGCGCTTGAGGTGATTCATAGCATCACAACATTGTTGAGTGGTACCTGTTAGAGAGAATTGACATGTATACATAAATGCTAGTAACTTGGTTAAATGAATCAAGGTATTATCCCTATAGATATGGTGCAAGAGAATTACACACATGATAATATCTATCAATTCCAATACTCTGTGCTTTTACAGTAAATTTTTCAAGGCCACAGAACAAGATCATAAAAAAGCAGACAGGTCAACATGGCCTGAGCCAACCATGAGGCCTCTGCTAAAAAACTGTGTATTCTATTTTCATGCTCATGCTTAGAAAAACTATAGAATTTTCCCATATGAATGTTTCTTCTGGGGCCACTTCTATCATATCCTGAACTGTTTCTCTGAAATAAATAAATCTTTGTAACATCAGGTTTTGGTTTTATGTTCTAATTATTACTAATTGATGGAAGTCAGAGCATGAAAAGTAAAGAAAAAGAGAAAAGCAAGTTTACCAAAGAACTATTAGAACCATATATGAAAGAAGTCACAGATTCTTCACAGAGCTACATACTGTTGTAGAAAAGAATGGCAAGGCAAACAGAAAAGGCTATTACAAAATGGTAGAAAACTTCCACACAATATAGAGAAATGCCAATTTTTCAAGCATTTTGTTTATTATAAAAGAAAAATAATCCTTCATTTGCTGCAAAAGTAAGCCGATTAACTTTTCCGCTAGTTATAGATTCGTGGTTTGGTTTAGTTTTTCTTTTTTAATCCAAGATTCAACTATAGAACTAAGAAAAAAGCCAGCCTGTTAATTAATTATAGCTCACCTAATGATTTCTCATCTGTATGGGTTAAGGCCAGACTTTCCAGAAATACAACCAATGCTTCAAATACAAACTGTTCCACCAGAGAATTCTCTTCCCTTTAAAAAACAGGAATAAGTATGATAAGAAACATGAGTAGAAGAAGCACTAAGTGCGAAATTCTAATTAAAAAAACCTTAAAATACTGTAGAGATAAGTGTGCAAGATGTTTGTAAGAAAAAATACATCTAAACCACTCTAAAAGAACAACAATGAAGATTTGCTGACCACCTTTAAAAGGCTTAAGTAACTTCCCATAAACTTGCGATAGAAATGTAAACTTCTACACTCCCCACTTGCAGAAAGACTGAACTACAAAATTATAATTAAAAATTAATAATCCGAGTAACTCAATTTTACAGCTACTGTATTCATTAATAGAATGAGTGCCAGTGGATGACTGTTTGAGTTCTATGCTCAATTCTTTTTATCTCCTTAAACCCTTAGTCCAAGTTAGCTACTGTTCTGAGCTCTGTTTGCTCACCTAAATTCTCTGTAGATGCTGTTAAAAGCAAGTGCTGCACCCAGTCTCTTGAAAGCACTGGGATGAAGAGCAAGACTATACAACCGTTTAAAAAGAGACTTGGTGTTTGCTGGGCTTTTCTCCTGCTGCCTCGGTGTTGTCTGCTTAATAGACCATTTCAAAAATTCTCGTATGCATTGGCCACAGAAATCTCTCAAAGTGCTGTCAACTGGATCCACTATGCCACTCTGAAATTACACAACATTTTTTCATTACAAGAATGAAAAAAACCCCAAAAAAGGCATTGTCTCAGTGCAGTTATTCGAGCATTTTATTTACACAGTATTATTTGTAAGCTAAAAAAAAATGCACTCACGCTTGCCCAGAAGTAATAAAGCCTCAAAATTATTACTGTCCAAAGGAAGGAACGGCATTTCCAGCCCTCACAGCACTGGGTTAGGCCTCAAAGAGAAGCCTTGTGTAAGTCACTTCATTTTGTGATGAGCCAGTTTCCTCTGCTTTGGAAGTGGTGTGCCAACACTGACTTTAATTTCCAGAAAGTACTGCAAAACCTCCTGACCTATCTTGTCTCCAGTCACTTCAGGTCAGTGCAAAAGCCAGTTTTAAATTTAAAGCTTTTGCACCTGGCAAAAGCAAAAAAGCTTA